GGACCAACATTCCACAGGCCACAATCAACAACCTGATCAACTCTATGCGAAGGAGATGTGTTGCACTGCGTGAGGCAAATGGTGGTCACACCAGATACTGACTGGTTTTCGGACGCCCCCGGACCCCTCAATACAGTAAAACTGCACAATTTATTTTTCAGCTCATGAAAAATGGGGGCAAAAACAAAAGTGTTGCGTTTATAATTTTGTTCAGTGTATATAGCAGATTATAAATAAATCAGAAATGACTGCCTGCTAGTCATTTACAGGCTAATAGCCTACTAAAGGTCAAACCTGTGTATACAGAGAATGGTTGACAGTAATTTTATAAGTACTTAGGGCACACATGGAAACCAAATAGCCAGGGACCAAGGCTATTGACACAAAAGGTTACAGCTGCTAATGACAAACTCTCAAATGTGTAATACGGAGCACTGCCTTGAAATGATGTCATTTGTAAACATGCCAAAAAGAAGTGTCAAGTAATAGAAAAATATATATATCTACATATATATATATATCTATTGTCAGACAGGTTCTATTTAAGTGATTTCTTGATTCAACAGGTCTGGCAGTAATCAGGCCTGCGTGTGGCTAGTGAAATGTAACTCAGCTTTCTAAAATGATGTGGTTAATCACAGTTCTTTCATGATTTAAGAGGAGGGGCAAATATTTTTTCACGTAGGGCCAGGTAGGTTTGGACAGCTTTTTTCCCTTAATAAATGAAATTATCATTTAAAAACTGCATTTTGTATTTACTTGCATTATCTTTGCGTATTATTAAAATTGCTTTGATGATCTGAATCTTTTAAGTGTGACAAATATGCAAAAAATTACAAAAAACAGGACGGGGGCAAAAACCTTTTCACGGCACTGTATATATACTAGTGCCTATAAAAAGTATTCATACCCCTTCATTTTTTTCACGTTTTGTTATGTTGCAACCTTGTGTTAAAGTGATTTGAATTACTTTTTTTTTTTCACACATCAATCTACACTCCATACACCATAATGACAGCAAAAACAGAATTTACTTCGTAAATTTATTAAAAATAAAAAACTGAAATAAGCACATTGCATAAGTATTCATACCCTTAACTCAGTACTTAGCTGAAGCACCTTTACAGCCTCAAGTATTTTGGGTATGATACGACAAGCTTTGCACACCAGAATTTGGCAAATATCTGCCATTTTTCTGCTCACCTCTTCACCTCTCAAGCTCTGTCAGGTTGGATGGGGCAGATGCACATTTTCAGGTTTCTCCAGAAATATTTGATTGGGTTCAAGCCCAGGCTGTGGCTGGGACACTCAAGGACATTCATACAGTTGTCTGTAAGCCACTCTTGCTGTGTGCTTAGGGTAATTGTCCTCCCACAGCATGAGGCTGCTACCAGCACACTTTACTTTTGGGATGGTACTCTGCAGGTGATGAACAGTGCCATGGTTTCCTTCAAACACGATGCTTGGAATTTAGGTTCATCAGACCAGATAATCTTGTTTCTCAGAGTCTGAGGGTCCTTTAGGTGCTGTTTTGCAAATTCCAAGTGAGTTTTCATGTGTCTTCATTGAGGAGAGGATTGAGTCTGGCCACTCCGACATAAAGACCGGATTGGTGGAGTGTTGCAGTGATGTTTGTCCTTCTGTAGATTTCTCCTATCTCCACACATGATCATGGAGCTTAACTAGAGTGACCATCAGGTTCTTGGTCACCACTCTAACCTTCTCCATCAATTGCTCAGTTTGGCCAGAAGGCCAGCTCTAGGAAGAGTCCTGGTTGTTTTAAACTTCTTCCATTAAGGGTAACAGAGACTACATGCTTCTGTGACCCTTCAATGCAGCAGAATTTTTTTTCTGAACTCTTCCACAGATGTGTGGCTTGACGCAAACCTGTTTCTGAACTCTACAGGCAGTTTTTTTTACCTCAGGGCTTGGTTTTTGCTCTGATATGCATTATCAACTGTTAGACCTTTTATTAAGACGTGTGTGCCTTTCCAAATCATAACCATTCAATTGAATTTGCCAGAGGTTAACTTCACTGGAAGTGTAGTAACATCTACAAGCAATACGAATGCTCCTGAGCTAAGAAGTGTAGTTACATCTACAAGCAATATGAATACTCCTGAGCTAAATTTCAACTGTCCCAGATAAGGGTATGAGTACTTATGCAATGGAATCATTTACGGTTTTTTTTTATTTTTAATAAATTTGCAAAGATGTTAAAACCCTGTTTTCTTGCTTTGCCATTATGGTGTATGGAGTGTAGATTGATGTGGGGAAAAAGGTAATTTAAAGCAGTTTAACATAAGGCAGCCACATAACAAAATGTGAAAAAAAATGAAGGGGCATGAATACTTTTTATAGGCACTGTATAGAGAGAGAAAAGAAACATGATGTATAGATAATAGTTATGTTTAGAATAGTATACTAACATACATAAGTGCAGTATATAATATCCCTGTGCACAGAATGCATGAAATGTTCAAAATGTGCCAAAATGTTTATTCCTGTGACGCAAAGCTGAATTTTCAGCAGTCATTACTCAAATCTTCATTGTCACGTGATCCTTCAAATATTATTTTAATATGCTGATTTGCTGCTCACGAAACATTTCTTATGATCAATATTGACAATCAGCATTTATTTGAAATAGAATGTTTTTAGTAACAATGCCAAATTGAATGCATCCTCGCTGAATAAAAGCCCTGCAGTAAGCAGTTAGTATTCATTCCAAACACACGCAGTAAGACGCGCGGGTGTCTCCCAGCTCTCCTTACCTGGCTGTCCTACGCTGTTCAGTCTCTTCATGAGATGACAAGCGTTTGGTAACAGCAGATGCACATCAGATAGAACAGTGTCACTTCTAAATGTGACCTGGTCCATGGCCAAGTCTGCCTGGCACCCAAGAACCCAGCTCTGGAGAATAGAGCAATTTCCTTCATATTCATCTCATCATCCTTCTTAAATGCATTACGACGTCCACACGCACTTAAGAGAAACTATGATCAATTTGGCATTTTACAAGGATTGGGAAACTAAGACAGAACTTCTCTATAGGCTAAGTTTAAGACAACTTGAATTGAACGCTTGGTTTTGTTTGGGCTCGAGTGAAAGCTATTGTAATCTCGTTTGAGTAGAAATATATTCAAGTGGGCGTGACCATGCGCTTCCCTGTAACTCAAAAAGCCACTTTCTTTCTGACCGTCCCCTATCAACTTTCTCGCAGCTAAACAGAGAGAGCACTTCAGCCCATAAACCTGGTAGTCAGCTCACTGGGAGTCACAACCTTGGTTCAGAAAGTTCAGTACTGTCTAGGTAGGCAGCTCACTAGACTCTGACACACGTTAGTCTACTGCAGTATCTTCATACCTCGTAGTCTTCTAATCAACCCTGGGGCAAAGAGCTGCCAATATTTACCGAGTAGCTGACGAGGAGGAGTTTACTTAGTTTTTGTAGTGTAGCCAAGAGTATTAAATCATACTAAAATATGAGCGCAAAAATATGTTAAGATACCTTAAAGAAAGCTTATATGGCAGCTTACGAGAGGTTAGTTAGACTCGCTTGAGTGTTACATTAAAAGCAGACCGTGTGTGTAAAACCGCTCTGAAAACAGTTCCAAAGTAGAACGCGCATGGCACATACAGTCGTGGTCAGAATTATTGGCACCCTTGGTAAATATGATCAAAGAAGGCTGTGAAAATAAATCTGCATTGTTAATCATTTTGATCTTTTATTTAAAAAATTCACATAAATCTAACCTTTCATTGGAGAATAAGAATTTAAAATGGGGGGAAATATCATTATGATATAAATGTTTTTCTCTAATACACATTGGACACAATTAACGGCACCCTTTTATTCAATGCTTTTTGAAACCTCCATTTGGCATAATAAGAGCTCTGAGTTTTCTCCTATAATGCCTGATGAGGTTAGAAATCACCTGACAAGAGATCAGAGAGCATTCCTTCATCCAGAATCTCTCCAGACCCTTCAGATTCCCAGCTCCATGATGGCGCTTCTCCTCTTCAGTTCACCACACACATTTTCTATAGGGTTCAGGTCAGGGAACTGGAATGGCCATAGCATAAGCTTGGTTTTGTGCCCAGTTACCCATTTTTGTGTTGTTTTTAAGGTTTGTTTTTGGATTATTGTCTGGTTGGAAGATCCAGACATGGCCCATTATAAGATTTCTAACTTTTTTAACTTTTTAAGTCAGTCACTTTTTGATTTTTTATCTGTTGGTGTTTGATAGAATCAAAGATGTCATGTATCTAAACAAAATGTCCAGGACCTCCAGCAGAAATATAGGCCCACAACATTAAAAATACAGCAGTATATTTCATTGTACACATGGGGTACTTTTTATCCCTGTGTGCACCAAACCCATCTTGAGTGTTTGTTGCTAAAAAGCAAAT